GGGCATAGGGTAGGGCAAGGCACCAGCAGGCAGCAGCACGTCTGCACAAGGGACGAGAGAGACGGGTGCCCGTGCCCCGGCCTTTTCCGCTCGTCTCGTCCCCTGTCCTGCTGCTGATGGCGACGGCTTCTTCATCCATCCATTCACGTACAGCAGGGCAAGGCAGCCCCGAGAGGGCGAGCACCTCCCGGCCTCCCACCGCTTGGTTGGGCCGGCCCGGTCCAGCAGAGAAGCTATCCCCACCGATCGCTTCGGCCCCTCGTTGGTGGGAGTGGAAGCTCTCCCGGCCCATCCGTCCTTGGAGATTTGAACGGGCCGCCGCACAACGGGCAGTTGGTTCTTCTTCTTTTCCTTCGTTCACGGGACGGGAGGAGCAGCAGCTGCAGCCTGCAGGCGACACGCCAGGCAGACCCAAGCGAGGCAAACGAGGTGCATGGCAGGCGCCAGGCGCCATTGCCATGTCACGGAGTATGTCAGCGACGCGTCCAACGTTGCTGCTGCCCGCACCGCACAGGGGAAGAAGGGGATTCGCCGATTCAGCCAGAGCACAGCAGAATTCAGACACAGCCAGCCATGCGCATGCAGCCTGCCCATTGCTTGGCATGGGCGATGGCCGATGGGTCGGTCGCACGAAAGTCGTCGCTCGTCAGGCGCACAGGCATGCAGCCACACGGCCACACACGCCGGCGACGGCCTTCCCTCGAACCGTCCGTGACCTGTGGCTGACTGGCTGACGCACTAGCACCTGGCCTGCCTGACACTGTGCCTAGCCGCCGTACGCCATGTTAGGTTGACTTATGAGGCGTACTTTTACGGATAAGCAGTCTGCTCGGGAGACCGTATCGTATCGTGGATTATTTACTGCTAGCTGGTTTGATGTGAGAGAAAAAACACTATTCTTGACTGGAAATTTATGACCATTTACAAACAAGCGAACCGACTGAAGGAACAATATTTTTTTACAGCAAATCAACGGAACGTTATTCTCCGACAAGTGAACAGGGCAGTAGTGTAGGGAGGGCCCTCTCGTGCACACCTCCAAACGTAACGTACCATCCCCCTCCCCTCTCGTGCACATTAGTAGCTTTTTTTAGGTGTTTTATTTATTTATTTATTTATTTTGATTTCACCAAAATTATGGGCATGCTAGGTTACCTGCCTTCGCTAGCCACGTCTAAATTTTATGAGAGATGTGCTGGTATTGATTTGGTTCCTAAGATATTGCATATCTTATACTAGCAACTTATAAAATTCTCGTTATACTAACTCTTACCAGTGTTTGTGGCAGACCTTTTCATGCTTGGTCAGTCAACGTGACATTGGATTTTATCATATTAAAAAATACACGTTTGCTAATAGGGCCGTGTTTAGATTGTAAATTTTTGCAATCTAGACATTGTAGCACGTTTTGTTTGTATTTGATAAACTTGTTCGATCATGGACTAACTAGGCTCAAAAGATTCGTCTCGTGATTTACAACAAAACTGTACAATTAGTTACTTTTTTTACCTACATTTAATGCTCCATGCATGCGTCCAAAAATTGATGTGATGAAGAGAGGGTGAAAAAACTTGGAACTTTGAGGCAATCTAAACAAGGCCTAAGGCCTAGGACGTGATGAGCTCATCCTTTCCCTACAAATAAAAGGCTGACAACAAATGCACATTTGAATATCATAGGAAATTTACAATCTTATAAGATATGGCGTGATTTTCTCTATCTGTAAGATACACCATTTATTATAGTAGCTTTAAAACTTTCCTGTCTAATATTAGCTTTGCTATCTACATTTAGTTAGCATTGGAGTCATATTGCTAAATTGGCAGGTCTCGCTTTCTCCTACCTCTCTTGCTATCAACGAAGCAATCCCGATGGTAAATTGGTAATTGAAACGTTAAAAGTCGGAATCATATGTATAATAAAGAGCCACCTAATAACACCTTTGCAAATATAGAGGGAGGGAGAGGGTGTTTGACTTTGATTTGAGATTCTGAGCAACCATTCCATTCTAAACGAGGGTACACATCTTGTTCTCGTTCCTTAAATTGTGTGCAACGACTCCATTCCTGGTACCGGTACCAATTATTAACTTACGCAGAATGTGGTGGTGGTGTATCAACCCATTTCATTCTACAAAACCAGACAAAAAAAAGATGGAGTAATTAGCTGATGGGCTTTGGGCTACTTCATTCCTGAAACCAAGCATCTTAATAGTTTTTTGTTTACAGTACATGCACACGTAACCTCTCCTACCACAACTAGTTTATCCTTCGACAGGGCCTCTGTGTTTTTCTCTTCCTTCCCTCTCTAACAATAGGCATATTACTAGTCCTTAGATTTTCTTACGATTATTGATGTATAGACATTGAGAGCACCACATACATAAAAAGATGACCATTAATTGTTCGCTACTTCTACTTGCCTCTAGACTCATTTTGCTCACAAGGAATGATCACCTTGTACCCAAATTGTGATCTTATTAGGTACACTTTCTTCCCCTATCAGCCCAACATTGCAAAAGAAAGAAAAAAAGGAACAAGAGGTTGAGAAAAAGAACAAACACTTTGACCTTATGAGCTACTTAAGTTCATTCTAGGCCCAATTTTTTATCTGATCCAAACTTCATGAAAAGTTGAAGTACCGAGATAATCACTTTGAAAGTTTATGGACCCAAATGAAAGTTCATAAAAGTTTAGATATACCCATCGCGCATTTCGCTCTTTCCCATAGCTATAACCTAGTCAAAGTTAGACAAGTTCGACTTAAGGGAAAACTAAAACGACTTACAATTTGAAACAAAGGAGCAACACATACATATATAGTTGTCGTCTATCGTATGTGCATGACAATCTCCCACCACAACGAAACTTTACTTATTTTCTTAGGGAACTTGCCTACTAACCAATCCCTTTTGTTTTTGGATCATTCCACATCGCCAGAGCCCTACTTTCGGCTCTTGCTAGTGAGACACACAACTGCTTTTACCATGTTGTCCCCATTGGTTACTAATTTTAATATTCCTATATAGTTTTATGGGTTTTTACAAAGGCAACCAAATACAACTACACCCTAAAGGGAGCCAGGACACGAAAACACTCATGCGTCGAGTAGATGGTGAAGCACAAGAACATGTGTCTAAGTGCCACGGGAAAATTGCCGACTTCATCGCCGCTAGTGAACAGCTCGCTGTTGGTCAAGGTCTACAGTGAGCCAAGTTGGAAGGCCTCACCGAGTGGAGATTGAAGGAGGGCGTGGAAATCTATCGATGAGGAATGTCTTCGCCAAACCAAAGATGTTGTTGGAGTAGTCAACATAGGTTGAAATCAGCTTCCAACGAACTCGAGGTGGCATCGCAGGAGATGTTGTCTTGAGGTTGACAAGGACTAGGACCTCGAGGTGTCCGGCAAGTTGAGTAACTCGAGGTGGCCTTGGTCGGCATTGAAGACACCAAGGCAACGAACCATGGGGCAACATATGGACTAAATTACACTTGACTTGTATTAAGCTACTAAGCTATCAGAGGATACAAGGGGTCTGACCCACTTCTCCATCACCGCCGTCGAGGACGTTGGAGGAAGAGGGGGAGAAGGCTAGGGAAGCCGACAATGCTAGGGCTTGCTATTTTGAAGAGCTCTATGAGAGGAAGGAGTGTGGTTCAGTTTCATTACGTAGTTTAAACTCTTCCACCCTAGTAATAAATGGACGGTTACTGGGCATGTTTTGATCAAGACTCGAGAAATCATCACCTCCTACCCGCGCTGACCTAACTAGCCATGCTCTCTCTCTTTGAACCCACCCAACCTGGCAAAGAAAAACAAAAATAAAAAAAGGTAAACCAAGTCGAGGAAAAGAACAAAACACTTTTGACTCTAGAGCCAACCCAGGTCGAGGACCAAAAGTCCAAATAGACCCTGTTTAGATCCCACCAAAAATCCAAATTTTTTCAAGATTTCCCGTCATATCAAATCTTGCGACACATGTATGGGGCATTAAATGTAGGTAAAAAGAATAACCAATTGCACAGTTTTCCCGTAATTGACGAGACGAATCTTTTAAGCCTAAATAATCTATAATTAAACAATTTTTACTAAATACAAACGAAAATACTACTATAGCCAAAAGTAAAAAATTTTCGCATCTAAACGGGGCTAATCTACGCAGGTCTGCCACGCCCGGACGCCAGAAAGAGCAAAAAGCTCCAAGGCAACCCAAGCGCGTCGTCCACCGGACCACAACCACTGTTCCGGCCGCGCCAGCCCTGCAATGCCACAGCAGCAGCAAGGACGGACGGGCGGGCCGGGCCCACCGCCTCCCCTTCCCTCCCTCGCAGAGTCGCAGGCGCAGCAGCGTCCAGCGTGCGTCACTCTCCCTCGCCGCCCTGCTTCCTAGTTCCTCTCTCTCTCTTGCTTGCTTGAATCGCCCTTGTTTAGTTTGCAAAAAGTTTTAAAAAAATCGTTAACATTAAATGTGAGCGAAATAAAACTAATTGCACAGTTTTGTTGAAATTACGGCTGCCGCATGATTCGAAAACGAAAAGTAGGCACTTTTCGCGAACTAAACGCGCGCTCATTCACTAACCCCGCGATTAGCTGCTCATTAACTCCACCCCGATCCGAATTGGCAGTGGCAGTAGCAGTAGCGGGGAGTAATCGGCGTCCATCCCATCCGCAGCAGAGCAGCCCACAGCCAGCCAGCAAGACCACCAAACCCAACGACAGAGCAGCCGAGGCAATTTAATGCGTTCCCCACACCTCCCCTCCCCGTCCCTCTCTCCCTCTCTAGCTACTCTGGCTGTAGAGATAGAGAGATAAGAGAAGAGAAGAGAAGAGAGAGAGAGAGAGAGAGGGAAGAGAGCTCTTCTCGCTTCGCCTCGCTGCCAATCTCATCGCCGATCCCCGCCGCCGCCGCCGCCGCCGCCGGGGCCGGGCCCCCACCGATCCGGCGCCGCCACGAGCTTCCAGATCCGCCGCCCGGGCAATGCTGTAGCGCCCCGCGCCGAGATGGGCGGCGTCGGCGCCGCCTCGCTCGCCCTGCTGCTGTTGCGGCTGCTGCTCATCCTCCTCCGCCGCGCGGAGGCCTCCGCTCTCCACGGTACAACACCTCCGACACTTCCCTTTACTGTCCCGTCCCGCTTGCTCCTCTCCTGTGTCCTATCCGTGCCCGCTCCCCCCTCGCATTCCGCGGGGCTGCTCGGTTTGGGGGCGGCGCGCTCGCGCTTCGGGCGTCCGGGTGGGCGGGGATTCCGCGACTCGTGCCGCATTCCGCCGGAAAAGTGCTCCCGACCTTGCCGGGCGCGCTGCTGTTCCTGCTCCGGCCGGCGGCCTCGCTGCCGTCCCGAGCGCGCGCGAGCGTGCGTTGCTGGAGCTTGAACATTTCTGGTGCGCGGCGCGGAATTCGGTTGCTTCTTTTTTTTTTTTTTTTTGGGGGGGTGATTTTTTAGATTGCAGCGCGGGCGCATGGTTTCCGCATTGCGGAAAGGATCTAGCGAGGCGTGAGGTCTACGATACTGTCGGTGGGTTCGGTGGCCACTTCATCCCCGCCCCCCCGCGCGTGTGCGGCCACTGGCATGTGTGCCTGCCTTTTGGAATTTTGGCTGACACCGACCCGTGATCATCCTAGCCAGGAGATGGAGATTTTTTTTAGATAATGGAATAAGGTTCCAGCCTCTACCATCCGGAAATGGTACACAGCTGAAGGAGATGCAGATGGAGATGGTGTGCGTGTGTGGGGTTCTACTTAGAGTGGAACATGCCTTCTCTCAAGGGCATTCATGCTGCAGGCAGACAGAAGCGGTGCTGCTTATTGCAACTGCAACTCGTTCTATCGGCTCAGGGTACATGAAACTGATTGTTGGATGCAAAGGTTGCAATGTACGAGAAATGCGCTTTGGTTTTGTGTAGGGAGTCTGTGGTTGTTAGAATGCTAGCTGAGCTTCTTTATCATGCATGCTTTTTTTTTAGTCTTGCACTCAGCTGCTCCTTCAAGGGGACTTATTTTTGCATCTGTATGGCGTTGTAACAATGGTGAGGCTTGCTATCTGACCCTCCTGACCAGGCATGAAATCTTAGGGTCTACATGGAGTGGTGCATAAAATTGTCAGTACCGTATCCTTTGGTACTTTATTTTGACTTGGGTAGTATTGGAACTTGAATTCTTATTCCATGTTTGGTCTCCAGTCGCCAGGAAGGGGGGAGCAATTTTCGGAGGGTACTTCGAAAACTATAGAAGTATTAAATTTGCATTAAAGTTATGCAAATCTACAACATTTTCAGATGCAATATTATATAAAGTCTATTGGGAATTCAAGCTTTTGAAATAAAGGCTTTATCTTTCCATATCACGTAGGCTTGTTTTATTTAACTCCAACGCGCCACATGCTTTTATGATGTTATAGTTACAATGTATGCGGTGTTTATATTACATGATTGGTACATAATTTTCCTCCACCAGGTTTAACTATTTTTCTCTATTGTAAACCCTGATCCCTCTATATTCTGCAGCTACTATATTTCCTAGCCCAGCACCGAGTCCATCAATCCCCCCTGAAGCGAGATCGTCTGGACCTCGAATTTCCCCTTCGTATCCTCCAAGGGCACTGCCTCCAAGATCTCCTGGTACGTAACCATGGCAACTTAAATACTACAATTTCAAAGCTTAATTTTTTGTATAAGAGCGCTGTTTAATTTCCTTTTATTCTTGCAGGCTTTGCTATGCGCCATCATTTGCACAAGCACCTGCACCACAGAGAGTCAAATCAGGGCCCTTCACCGTCATCATCACCCCCACCTGAAGGTTTGTCAGTGCCACTCGTTTATGCAGTTCACAATTTTATCTCGTCAGGAATCCTTGTATTTGCCTACCAGTTCTGATGCTTTCTGTGGTCTATTTTTGTCTAGTACTGTTGCTATTGAGATTTGAACTACTCTTATGACTCCTTGGATCTTTAGCAGGTTGTTCTAGCTATATTTGCACCGAGCCACTGACTGCAACACCAATTGGTTCCCCTTGTGGCTGTGTCGAGCCTATTAGTGTTATTGTTGATCTGGACTTAGCTCCTTATCTACTGTTCATGAGCATAGCTGAGTTAGAAGTTGAAGTTGCAGCTGGGACATTTCTTAAACAAAGCCAGGTGAAGATCATGGCTGCAGTTGCAAGTATCCAGGATGACCAGAAGACACGGGTGACCATTTATTTGGTGCCACTAAGAGAACAGTTTGATACTTATACGGCATCCCTAATATCTGATAGGTTCAGGGATAAAAAGGTTCAGATAAATTCATCTATATTTGGAGATTACAAAGTTATCAATATCAGCTATCATGGTAAGGCCCTGCACATGGAATACCCCTTTCTTAGGTTATTTGCCTGATTTATGTTTATAGTTATTCATCGTTGTCACTACAGGATTGCAATCCCTGCCATCATCTTTGCCTGGAGGATCGGATCCTTCAGGAGCCGAAGATCCTATAACTGCGCAGGTGCCCGGTCAGAAGAAAAAGCACAAGAAATCAGATATTTTGATCATTGTGGTAGTGCTAGTGTCTTCTTTTGGACTTCTGTTGACATGTGCTGCTGTCCTGATCTTACTAGTAAGATGGAAGAAACTTGGCCGGCTTCATGAGGCTATGAGCCCTGCAACTACCCCAGCAGTTAATAGAAGATATGGTATGATGTTTAATAGTATTACTTATATTGTGCTTTGTTTGTTTATGCTTTGTCAATTACCTGTTGCTTATGGCTGCTTGGGAAATATTTTGAACTAAGGTTGTGATAGGAGTTAGCGTCACTCTGTTTTTGTAGAGCATTCATTGTCATTTTCATGTTGCCGAATCTAGACTTTTGTGGTCAATATTGGAAAAACTTAGCACCATTTCCACGGTGGCGGGAGTATCATTCACTATTTATATGCAGTTGAGTTAAATGAAAATTGGTATCTAATGATTTCACTTAGTCTTCCCCTGCAGTAAATGTCTCTTTGTAATCTATGGTAATCTAAGTTTTTAGACTCTGACCAACTTCCTTATGATAAACATGCATAACAGTTTTTTATTTCTAAAAACGTTATTAGCATATGGTTGACAACAAAAACTGTTAGGAAAGGTCGCACAAGTTCAACTTCTTGAGTACACTAAATAATTTGATACTCTTAAAATTACCGTGGTTATACTGATAACTTAATGCATGATGCAGGCACTAGATCAACTTTGTCAACCAGCATGGTGAGCTCTGCGTCAGCATCAGTGTTTTCAACAATGGCTACTTGCACAACATCTGTAAAGACATTTTCACTAGCCCAACTTCAGAAGGCCACAGATGGTTTTGATTCGAAAAGAGTTTTGGGTCAAGGGGGCTTCGGGCGTGTCTACCATGGGACGATAGAGGATGGAAACGAAATTGCTGTTAAATTGCTTACAAGGGAGGACAGGAGTGGTGACCGTGAGTTTATTGCAGAGGTGGAAATGCTCAGTCGACTGCACCACCGTAATCTTGTCCAATTGATTGGTATTTGCATTGAGCGGAACAAAAGATGTCTTGTGTATGAGCTCATACGCAACGGAAGTGTGGATTCCCATCTTCATGGTATGCTTGATGACTGTTGAATGGAATGTGTTGACTACAATAATCTCCATAAAATAATCAGATGAGGCTTATTTAATTTGTTAAAAAATGGACTAGCTGAATCAGCTGTCAGTCTAAATATAGAACTTTGAGTTCTTAATTCTGTAGTTCTAAGGAAGCACTTATATATACAGTATCCGTTGTTGCTTCCAGTTTAAAACTTGAAAAATTCTCTGATGATGTGTCTCAGTGAAACCACATTACAACAGCACTCAGAAACCAAAAAAACAGAAGTCCGTATTTTCATCTGCGATGTTTGTGCCTAGTTTAGGATTTTGTAACTTACCATGATTGTTTTGGGTTGATTCTAGCCTTTGTTTTTTCCCTGTCTAGGTGCTGACAAGGCTCAGGGTAAGCTGAACTGGGATGTTAGGATGAAAATTGCTCTTGGGGCTGCTCGAGGCTTAGCGTATCTGCATGAAGATTCAAACCCTCATGTCATACACCGTGACTTCAAGGCCAGCAATATATTGTTAGAGGAAGATTTCACTCCCAAAGTTACTGATTTTGGTTTAGCAAGGGAAGCATCCAATGCAACTCAACCTATATCTACCAGGGTAATGGGTACTTTCGGGTAAGATACACTTTGCTTACTCCATCTTATATAATGATGTCAATAACCATGTGATTGTTAGTTGGTGATTTGTACAAACTGCTGCATCTTGTTATGTTTTTTTTTTCTCAATCACGCAAAAGATTTGCGCGTTTTTGTATTAAGTAGAAGAATAGTTTGTTACATCTCGGGTGGTTTAGAAGATTAACACTGAGCGCACCCACCCTGCTCAGCTTCTTCTCTAACCTATTACTCGCTGAATTAAACAACCTAGGTGCTTCGCACCGGCGTGGACCCATAGCTCTATCTGAAGTTTGATGGTTGCCTTGATCGCCGGAATCGTGTGGTTGCTCGCTGAAACAACGCGCATTACGTTCTTTCCAGATTTCCCAAGCAATTAGCGCGAACATGGAGTCTGCGCCTCTTGCAAATGATGTTGGCCAAAGAGCTCTCCAGTCCGCCACCGATCGACAATGGCGCGGTTGGTTGTTTTCGGTCGAGTTGCCCCTAAGCGCCGTGGTCGCCTCGAACCACAAGCGCTGGCGAAGGAACATTCGACGATGATGTGATCAATGGTTTCCGGTTCTCGATCGCACAGAAGCAGTGTCGTGTGCATCGAGCCCATGCTTACGTGCATCGTCATCCATTCATTGCCCATCGTCGGCGGCGAACCGCCAACCGAGAATTGACTTGACCTTGAGCGGCGCCCACACCTCCCAAATCTCGACGCGGCCGGAATGGGGTGAGAACCGATCCTCCGAGGAGCTGCATCCGAAGTTTGTCGACGGGCACCACGCCACCCGGCCACTAGGGCGCGGAGGCCGAGTGCATTCATCCGGCGCGACACAGCCACGGACTCCGGAGAGGCAATGCCGCACCTAGCCCTCATCAGCAGCGACACCGAGCGGGTTCACCGTTGGATGCTCCACATCGGAGGTTCTCATTGGCGGTCATGGCGCGCATCGGGGTGGCGGCGGACGATGTCCGGGTCAAGAAGTTCTACCCGAGCAATTCATCATCTTGTGCGATTTCACCGCGATCAAGGATCGGGCGCGGCGGCATCGCTGGTCGCTCAACGCTCTACTGGTGGACTCGTGACTCGACCGGCGACGCAAACCTATCGACGCTACTGAGTACAAGCTCACCGTCGAGCTTGAGGGGTGCTGCCGCACGCGTCTGGCGTGAAGACACCGCATGACCAAGCTCCTCGCGCCGCATCTTTGGATACTGAGCATCGAGCCAATCACGGCCGCGGCGACGACCTATCCTCGTTCCGCCTCACAAAGATGGGACGAATAAGCCGAGCTCCTTGCCACAAATCTTATGGCTCAATGTCGCAGAGCACGAGGTCGATCGGCGGAGACCGGAGGGTCGATTCAGCGCGGACTCAACCGTTCTGTGGAAGGACACCGCTGTGGTACATGATCATCGTCCCACCGAGATGCGTTCATGACTACTCGCTTGGCCGGATTACTGGGGTGATGGATCCTCGTCGACGACCCACCGAGGGGGGGCGCAGGAACAACGAGCATCACCACGGCCACCGCGACCAAGACAGAGATCTACCCTTCCCCGCCCCGTGGAGCGAGAACGGCAATGCTCGGGGACATCGGCGGCAGGCGGGGCGAGAGACCGGGACCGCCAAAGCTCGCAAGAAGCGTCTGCAAGCACACCAAAGGCTAGCCCCACACGGAAGGCTCGTGTACTGTTTCCCATGCCGAATCGGAAGCTACGAACAACCTCTCCCCGGCAAAAAAAAGCGAAAGCGCCCAGGCGCGCGCGCGGCAAGTCTCGGCGCCCTAAGCAAGCTAAGAGACAAGAAGCAGCACCAACCCAGCCAGAGATTGCCAAGGCCGACAACCGCTCTGCTGCCACCAGTATGGGGGGCACCGGGACAGCTACTCCCCAGCCAGCCCACCTGGTAGAAGATCAGGATGCCCAGGGAGGCCAGTTGGCCACCGATGAGCAGCTCCAGGACAAGCGGCCACCAATCACCCAGTTCGCGCCAGAAATACCGGAGGCGGCGGCCGATGACGTCACAACAGAAGCGGACGGCGGGGACCTGACAGCAGCGGCAGATGAAGCTATAGCGATCCCGCAACCGGTACAGATTCAAATCACAGCCGTTTCAGGGGACCCAGTGGTGGACGACGTCGACGATGGTCCGTTGGCAGCCGAAGAAGCAGCCAAGGCAAAGGACGCCGCCACGTCGACACAGGGGGACCGGACACAGGCGGAGGGTGGGCCGGACAAAAGCCCGCTGCCACCGACCCATGAAGAGCAGCACACTCGATCCACGGCCCACCCGCCCATGAGGCCCGTGGAGGCCGGCAAAGTCGGAAAGTAGCGATTGATGCCGATCGTTCAACGACCCACCAATCGCCGCCATGGGGCGGACGGTGCCGGACGGGGAACGAGGGGCTATAACGCCCACCGGTCAGCAGTGCGGAAGCAAGATTACACCATCGCCGCCGCGAAGGACACGCACGACGCGGGCAGCGAAGGTTCAAGTCGTTCGCGGTGAAGGTCAAGAGGCCCAAGCCTGCGGCGCTACTGAAGCGCCCATCACCAGTCAAGGCGGTAGAAACACCCAAGAAAAGGCCGACGCGAAGCTGGAGGATCGCGGCGCAGAGTCTGTCGCGGATTCCGGCGTCCAAGCGTGGGGAGTATCTGGTGCTCAAACGCCTTGGACACGCTTCCCCACTCTCCGCATCCACTGCCAGGAACAAATTCGACGCCTTGTTCGGAAACAACCCGGAGGACGACGAGGCGCTCAGGGAACTGTTCCCGGACGATGGCCACATCGGCGGCCGCAGGAGGCGCCGTCGTGCGCGGGCTTAAACAGCTCGCTTCCCGGTCGACAACAACAATGGATAACACAACCATTGTGTGTTGGAATGTTCGCGGGCTCATCGATAGAGCCCGGCGGGACAACGTGCGCACAATGATCGGCAATGGCCGGAATACTCTGTTCTGGCAAGACAGCTGGGTTCATGGGGTGTCAATCAGAGTAATGGCGCCCACCTTGATGCACTTTGTCCCCAAACGAGTCATCTGCAGGCTAACGGTGGCGGAAGCACTCACGGACAGGCATTGGGTGCGCACCATATCCGGCGGAGTAACTGCCCCAGCAGCCGCGGAATACTTGCAGGTCTGGCACGCGATTGAGGACATCGTCCTCACGGACGCACCGGACCGCCTCGTCTGGCGATGGGAGTCTGACGGAAGCTTCTCGGTCCGATCGGCTTATCAGGCATTGCATCTTGTTATGTTAGATTGTAGTAGGATGACTTTGGGTTCTCTTTGTGATTGATTCTAATTACATTCTTGATGTACTCCTGGATGTCAGTCACAGTTGGGGGAAAAAATCAACTAGTATAATTATCTTGATTGAATCCTAGCATTCCCGAGTGTCAAACAATGATAGTGCTTGAAGGGTCGGTCTTTTTATTTTCCTTGCTAAATAGTTCGTGCTATAACAATAATTGTTTTCCTGCGCTTTGTACACCACAGTGCCTTGCTTTTTACTTGACTCAATCTTAATTTTTCTCTTTGACTGCACAGCTATGTTGCTCCAGAATATGCAATGACGGGTCATCTTCTTGTTAAGAGCGATGTCTACAGTTATGGGGTTGTCTTGTTGGAACTTTTATCGGGAAGGAAGCCTGTAAGCATCTCTGAGTCCAAGGATCCTGAGAACCTTGTAACCTGGGCCCGTCCTCTGCTAAGCCATAAGGAAGGCCTGGAGAAGTTAATTGATCCTTCTCTGGATGGAAAGTTCAACTTTGACAATGTAGCTAAGGTGGCATCCATTGCTTCCATGTGTGTGCACACGGATCCATCACAGAGGCCATTCATGGGTGAAGTTGTCCAGGCACTGAAGCTTATCTACAATGATCCAGATGAGGCTTGTGATGATTCCTACAGTCCAAGGAATTCATCTGATCAAGAGGGTGACTACGAAGGATACCTAGTCTTTGAGAGTGGAAGCTGGGGGTTTGAGGCCTCTGGGTGTCTAGACTACCGGAATTCCTTACCGTTTGTTACTATGGACTACAGTTCTGGCCGAATAGAAGGACTGCATGACCCTCGCGCAGCATTGTCAGCGGGACCCCATGTCCAGTCACCAGTGCTGCAGAATAGATCAGGCCCCTTGCGGATGAAGAAAAAGCTGGCCTCCTTTTACCGCTCTAGAGGCAGCATTAGCGAGCATGGGCACCTGCCGCACCATTGATCAGCCAATGAACTAGTGTTAGGCTGTTAGCTTCGGTTGACTTTGGGATTGAGGCTGCGGGGGTTGTCATCACCACTCGATGATTCGTGCCTCATGTTAGTGTACAGTTCGTGGTGACCCTTGGGCATGGTGCCTTGGGTATAGGTGTTTTTTCTTTGCCTTCTGCTTCTTCCCCGGAAGTAATGAGGATGGGGTTGGCAGATGCTCTCTAATTTTCGCAAATTGCGGTTCATTTCTCATGCATCTGATTGGTGTAATCTGGTTTAGGGAAGTTTCTTGCCGGAATTCTGGGCATCATGTTGTTGTGACTAGGTGTTGTACGGGATGCAGTTCGTTTGTAAACAGTGTTCGCGTTGGAGAGGTGAACTATACAGCCGGCTCAGTTCCTCAAATGTTAGGTGGTACCTGTGTTAATAATCTTGGTTCTTACTTTGCCTCTTCTCATTGCATCTTTTAGTTTCGTTATAAGTGATGATAGTTATGGTCTTGTGGATGTCGTGGTTCTGTGTTGAATTCATGTTCTCTGGCACGCGCGTCGGGCGGCCCTACCTTGGGACAACGTTGTATGGTTGTACACCCAATTTTCTTTTACTACCTCCGTGCTAAATTATAAGTCATTTTAACTTTCTTTGGTTTATCTATTTTACTATGTACCTAGACATATTATTATATTTAAATACATAGTAAATAAGATGTATCAAAAAAGTCAAAGCGACTTATAATTGGGAACGAAAGGAGTATTACTTACTGGAGCCTTCTAATGCAATTTTTAGACATATTATTATATTTAAATGCATAGCAAATTAGAGCCTTCTAATGCAATTTTTAGACATATTATTATATTTAAATGCATAGCAAATTAGATGTACCAAAAAAATCAAAGCGACTTATAATTTGGAATGGAGTGAGTATTACTTATTGGAGTCTTCTAATGCAATTTTCATGTTAATCATCGCTACACGTGATAGAAAAAAAAAGATAAACTATACAACCTCGAAAGATTACAAAGATTTAGTTATTAATTTGATTTGATAGACTCTAATCACAGTTGATAATAATAGTTGTTGGACTAGTTATGTTTTCTAAAAACATGTCCACCTCTACTAGAAATAACATAGAATGACATTCTAAATCTGTGTCAAAATTATCCATACAAGCTATTATGAAATGTATAAATCAGCCACTAAATTTACATATAGATTATCCGTTCCACCATCATGATATAATCTAAGTGACCTTTTAAATTTATATCAAAATTACCACATATGTCGTTATTAAAATTAAAAAATGAAATATCACCTCAAGCCTACATCTAAGTTATCAACGTCAGCTGTTTTAAAAAAAATATTTGAATACCATAAGTTGTGCCTATATATATTGTCATATAACTATTAAACACGATCATCTAATGCTCATGCTCATTAGCTCATAAGATTCTAGCTCATACAGGAGCATGAATTAGTGTACTAATTTACAAAAAAGTCATTAATAGAGATTCATAACTACGCTATGCATATCTATAATTACTACATCATATGGATATTTTTTTTAGTTAGAAACTATATAGCATCTACACTTGTGCTCTCCTTTTTACGTCATTTGGTTTGGCCTACCCTACTACACGGGGTTCTCATTCGCAACCCAATTTTCTCATTCAAATTATGGGTTTGTTTGGTTCCTTTGCTCCTTCTTGCCTCACCTTGCTTAGCTATAGAAAATGGAAACAAATAGCTGCTTGTTTAAGAGGCTAGCTTGTTTTGAGACTTGTGCTAGCAAGGAAATACCTTGCTGTCATGGGAGAGCCAATTTGGCTAGCTCCACCCATCAAGGTAAGGTTGACCGTCGCTAGCAAGGCATGATAATTCTTGCCTCAGAACCAAACATGCCCTATATCTTGTATGAGTTTGGTTCTTTCCTATTTGTCGCTTGTATTTCTTGTTAGATATGAATGCCATTACAAGAATAGTTGAAAGCTCTAGTTTGGTTTTGGTGAATTGATAAAACCCTAAGTGCTAACCTAGTTTATCAAAGTGATTATGAGATAGGTAGCACTACTCTAAGTGATCAAGCAAATGAAGATCATGACATGATGATGGTGATACCATGGTGATGATCAAGTGCTTGGACTTGGAAAAGAAGTAAGAGAAAAACAAAAAGCTCAAGGCAAAGGTGAAATTGTTAGAAACTTTTTGGTTTAGTGATCGAGACACTTAGAGAGTGTGATCACATTTAGGATTGATAGCCGTACTATTAAGAGGGGTGAAACTCGTATCGAAATGCGGTTATCAAAGTGCCACTAGATGCTCTAACTCATTGCATATGCATTTAGGATCTAGTGGAGTGCTAACATCCTTGAAAACATTTGTGAAAATATGCTAATACATGTGCATAAGGTGATACACTTGGTGGTTAGCACATTTGAGCAAGGGTTAGAAACTTCACCGGCGGAGTGTGTACAGAAATGATAGGGGTTTGTAGAGTGCACCGGACGCTGGGGTCCTGCGTTCGGTCAGTGGCGCGCAGTGAAGACCGTCCTCGGTCTCTTGATCGGACGCAGGCGACCGGACTCTAGCTGAACACTGTTCAGCCTTCGATCGTGCTGATGTGGCGGCGCACAGAGGAGACGGTGAGTGACCGGATGTTGGGTGAGTCCGGTTGGACGTGACCGAACGCGTCCGGTCGCGAATTTCCACCTCTGGAAGCTTATTGGAAGTGACCGGACGCTGGGGTCCTACGTCCGGTCGGGCGTGACCGGACGAGTTCGGTCGCGGCTGGAACCTTACTGGAAGTGACTGGACGCTGAGGTCCTGTGTCCGGTCGTACATTGTAGCGCGTCCGGTCACAACTTAAATGTACTGATGACCGTTGAGATCGGACGATCAACGTTTGAAGCAGGGGACACGTGGTGTACATCGTGCGACCGGACGCTAGGGTCCTGCGTCCGGTCGATCTGACCGGCGCATCCGGTCGCCTCGATTTTCAGTGGACTGAGGATTGAGGAGCCAACGGCTCTATTCGTGGGGGCTCTCTATTTAAGCCACATGGCCGGCTCAAGCTCACTCTCTTGGTCATTTGTATTGACATAGTCAAAGCCCTCCCACTCATCTCCATAATTGATTCATTATCTTTGTGAGATTGAGAGTGAATCCAAGTGCATTGCTGGAGTGTTTGCATCTAGAGGCACTTGGTGTTCGTGTTTCGCTGTGGGATTCGCTTGTTACTCTTGGTGGTTGCCGCCACCTAGACGGCTTGGAGCAGCGAGGATCGTCGAGCCGAGGTTGGTGATTATCTCCGACTCTGATCGTGGTGATTGTGAGGGGTTCTTGACCTTTCCCCTGCAGAGAGCCAAAAGGTACTCTAGTAAATTGCTCGTGGCTTATGTGATCCTCATCTTGTGTTGGTTGTGCGGCACCCTATTGAGGGTTTGGCGTGTGATGCCAATTAGCGCATGAACCTCCAAGTGAGTGAATCGCCACAATGAGGACTAGCTTGCCGGCAAGCAAGTGAACCTCGGTAAAAATTATTGCATCATCATTTGATTCCGAGGTGATTGGTATTCGTTCTTGTGATTGATTGGTTCATTCCTCGACTCGGCGGTATAACCATCGTGCTCTATCTCTTTATATTACCGCAAACTAGTTGTCAAGCTCTTTAGTGTAGCTAGTCGTGAGAGCTTGTTAGTTTGGTTAGTGTGGCTTTTTAGTTAGTCTTTAAGAGCACACTAACTTAGTGTAGCAACATAGCCATTATATGGATAGAGACTATAGAAACTAGAATTATGATAGGTGACTTGTATTTTTAGTATGCTAGAGCAACACTCGCTACGCCTCATATTTGTCTAACCGGTTTGCTAAGTGTTGTTGTAGAAGTTTTTAATAGTCTATTCACATCCCTCTGGCTATTAGGATCTTTCAATAGTTTTGTTGACTCACCATGAAATGACCACTCTACCCCCATGCAATACGTTGAGAGGCTGAACGAATGCTAGGGCAGTGAGGGAGGGGTAGGGCACAGGCTGAGGCGACAAAGCCATGGGACCCACTCACAAGGTGGAGAGGTGATGTGGCACCACATTAAACAAAACTATGATTTAACCATTCGAGGGTAGACAACAAGCATTTTCATAATATTAAGGGACCATAAACATCTCTGTTTTGTTTTGTTGGAGGGTAGAAAACAAGCGATTTTAATAATATTGAGAGAGCATAAACATCTCTGTGTTTCTAGTGGAGTGGTGAAATTCGGACTATGAGAGGGTAGTGAGGAATGTCAAGAGGACTTTTTCTATCCAAATAATCAACAGAAAAACAAATGGGCCTAATCTGTAATTTGGGCCTGGAAACCCATTGCTCTCAAGTCCATTGGCGACTAGTGTCATTAGGAAGCCCACGTAGTCGAGTGAGGAGGAAGGCAACGAAAACCCTCCTCCCCCGCGTTGCCCCAACCCCAGCCACCAGCTACCAATGGCGGCCACCGCGATGGACCACGACGGCGGCGGCGACGTGGTCACACCAGGGGAGCTCCTCGGCAACTCGTTAACCCTCGCGGCCGGACGCGGCGCCTACGCCGACGGCCGCTCCGTGCGCGCGTCGGTCACCGGGCGCCGCCGCATCGTGCCGCCCGCACCTGGCTCCGACGACCAGGTAGGGCTAGCTTAGTAGGGTTTACGAGTTCCTTTTGTTGGTGCGTGTGATGAGCTGGTTCGATTGGGCTGCAGAGATCCACGGTGGAGGTGGTGGGGCACAAGGCCCATGGAGCTGTGCCGCAGCCGGGAAGCGTTGTCATCGCCCGAGTAAGATGCTAAGATCCCTCAGCAATACTGAACATCGGTTTACAGAATTGCAATTTACCTGTTTCTGTGGAAACATTCAATGGTCATGCTCGTGTGAGATTCCAATTGCCACACGCATCCCCTGGTTGCCACACGCATCCCCTGGTTCAGGTTGGAGGTGGGGTGATGCATGTGTCTGGCAGTCTGAGCCATCGCTTTAGTAGTTTTATAGGGTAATAATGGACACACAGTGGTATTTTTTCAGGCATCTTTGCTGAAGGAAGTTACCCAACATAGATGGGCACAACGGTTTATTTAAAAAGCAGAAGTTTCTAAGCTGCTGATTCCTGAAATCTGTTACTTTTGCAGGTGACAAAGGTTATGGCTAGAATGGCCTCTGCAGATATCATGTGTGTCGACTCAAAGGCTATCAAAGAAAAGTTCACTGGCATGATAAGGTGGTGCCTTCCCCATGATTTTGCTTTGCCTTGTGTCACTTCCATCTTTTATTGTTTCCAGTTGATGTCTTGCACTACATTTGCTTTAGTTGCTTGCTGAATTCTAAACTTGGATTCATGCTCTTGTTCATCTTAGAGACAACCTTAGAGACAATGTCCCCTGTTTTTCTTGCAGGCAGCAAGATGTTCGTGCAACAGAAATTGACAAGGTGGATATGTACCAGTCATATCGGCCTGGGGACATTGTTAAAGCTAAGGTTGTATCCTTAATTAAGGCAAATGTTGCAGTGCAAATAATCTGTGTTTTCTTCTCTTGTTAAGTTGTTATCATCCTTGGTTAGGTTCACTTACCCTTGGGTTATCCACATCTACCCACTTCAACTGTCATCATTTTTTTTAATCTTTAAACTTTCACTTTGAATATCTTCCTTGTTTGGAGTAGTTAATGTTTTTGGCTGGCTTTGGATCCTTAAATGATGTCAAAGCTTTCCCTTGGTGATGCAAGGGCATATTACCTTTCCACGGCGAAGAATGAACTTGGAGTCGTTTCAGCACAAAGTATAGCTGGTACGAAAGGGTGCAAAAGGCAATTTGTTTGTACGAATACATGGAACTGCTCCCATTATTCTAGATTTTGTTAATGTTGCTTCCCATGTGTTTCTTCAGGTGGTACATTGGTCCCAATCAGCTGGACTGAGATGCAATGTGACTTGACTGGTCAAATTGAGCAAAGGAAAGTTGCGAAGGTGGAATAGATATGCTGGCCTTCCTGACAAATGGTAAACATGTTAGTAACTTATCTTAAATTGAGTTTTCCCTTGTGTGGGATATATGTAATTATATCTGGACAGTCTGTTTGCCATGTACTATGTAAATGCTGATGATTTGTTGCATGATGTGGACTTCTTATGCTATTCTATAACGCAGTAGAAATTTGACTACCTTTGTTGGCATTCACCGCTAAATGCTCGCCTGCCTTGCCATTTGGTCTCAGTCACCCATTTATCACAAATTTCTTTGTTCTCACATTACAGGCGGTGATGGTGTACAAAATGTGGACCAGTGACACCAGGTCCTTGGGCGGACTACCGATTCTTCGATGTCCAACTTCATTACAGCTGCATTGAGCATGATTTTAAAAACCCGGGCTGAGTTTAACTAGACGGTTCACAATGAATCATAGCCATGGGTCCTGTAATCCAACAACCTTGTGATCTGAATCATAGCCATGGGTCCTGTAATCCAACAACCTTGTGATTTGTAACTCGTGAGCTAATGACATTACAGTTTTGCACCTGAGGTTTTTACAAGTTTTGTTTGCCCATTGTTGAGACGTGTTTCCCTGTCTTTCTGGATGATGGTAAATGACTTGAGCTTTGAGGACCGGACCTGTTTCAAACGGGTCTGGTCAGTATTTCATTTATCCATCACCCTAGGCTTTACGAGAGTCCCATGTCTCCAACTCTAGCTTCAACACTGGCTTTCAGCGAAGCTCGTCCAAAATTTCTAAAATTTGTCTGAACCAGCACGAATGGCTTTGTCCAGTGCAGACCCAGCGCAAGCTGCCCAAGCAGTGAGTGATGTATTCGGTAACACTGATGCATAAAATGACTGACAAAGAAAACAATTTGCAGGTTTCCTCAGTGCTTCCATTCAAAATTGTTGCAGTAAGGATCTGTTCAACACGACCGTGACTTCAACCAAAAACAATACTTCCATTTCGGAGGCGATAAAACTGGAACAAAAATCAATGCTAATGAAATGAATTATGGATGCTGAACTACCCACACACCACGCACAAGCAGCTCCTAGGAAACACCATGCTTATCTGTACAACCCATAAGACCCAAAATGCTGAGTGAAGGGGCTGGTCAGGATCTAGCAAACAGCTGAGCAGCATTCAGATTGCAAGCAGCCGTCGAATCCTTAAGGCAGCTGCAGAAGCCATCTTCATCTGTAGGGAACGACGCCGGCAGTGGTCGGTCTGGAATCACACCAACCTAAAAAAAACATCATTCACAACTACTCAGAAACAGCTAAAATTATAAGTGATCAGATTCTGTTTTTTAACACAAAGAATTGGTTCGCTTGTCCTTTTTCCCCCCTAACCACCGACTAGCAAATGGCTATGCTTACCTTGTCAATGTCGGTATGCGCAGGAGTTTCATAGCGTGCTACAGTTACAGCTAGGCCAGATCCATCAGATAATCCAAAAACTGACTGAATCTTCCTGAATGTCCGCAGGTAATGAGAGTGAGACAACACACATTCAGAATAAGAACAAGGAGATCATGATAGGGGGAGGGGAAAGCAATACCCTTTTCCATATGTTGGTTCCCCATATACGACTGCCCTTTTATTGTCTTTCAGTGCTCCAGCAAGGATCTCACTTGCACTCGCAGTTCCTTTATTTACCTAACAAGTTTAAAAGTGGTATCATTTGATGTGTACTAACCTAAGAAACTGCAAAATAAGGAAAGCAGAATGACATAAAAATGCAACAATCTAGGTAAAGATTAACTAAATCTATCAGTCATTGTTTTCTTTAAGCAACGCTAGGTCGTACCAGCACAACCAAAGGTTCAGATGCAGCAATCGTATCAGCTCCATCTGCCTCATAAATGTCACGAACACCTTGGCTATCACATATATATACAATAACACCCTTGTCCATCCTGGTACAGCAGGAGTAAAAGTTAATATACTTCAATCAGCTTAGATATATCAGTTAAAATTTTAAAAGTTTAATTAACTTATATAGCAGTTGTTATTTATTGCAAGGCTACTGAGTGATGAGTCGCTAGATATATTGCGACAGCATGCACAACCTACACACAGGTGATTGACAGAAGATAAGTTTATATAAGAGCTTTTTTAATCTACTGAATATAGACCATTCACTTCTTCTGATTATGGATTAGATTTGTTAGAACTTTTATGTACCCCGCATGGTGATAAGGAGGAGTATGATCTGTTGGAGGGTGTATTTTTTCAATAAACAAGAAAAAAAAAGAAAGAACAGAATTTCTATGTTTCTAGGAAAGCATTCTTTGGCTTTGCCTCCCTTGATTTTCTCCTTGAACGTCCAAACCAGGAGTAGCCACCGGGAACCAATCAATCCTTCATGGAGAAATTGCTCTAAAAATACCGTGGAGATTGATTTTGCACTTCTGATGATGAATCTTTTCCAATTTGTGCTTAATACGAACAAGAACGTGGATATCACATTATCTTCTTTTGTCATAATCTACGGTAAGGTGTCGACTCATCGTTGATAAAAAAATTGAACACCTAATTATCAATAACAACTGGAAGTTCCATTCAGTTACTGACACAGGTTTCAATGGAAGGACGGGCCTGGAGCAAGCGGTAGAGTCTTACCGCCTGTGACCGGAAGGTCCCGGGTTCGAGTCGCGGTCTCCTCGCATTGCACAGGCGAGGGTAAGGCTTGCCACTGACACCCTTCCCCAGACCCCGCACAGAGCGGAAGCTCTCTGCACTGGGTACGCCCTTTACACAGGTTTCAATGGACTAATGGAGCCTATCCATCAGAATGATGTAGCACAGCACCATTGCTACCTTCATCAGAGAAGACGTATGGTGACTGAGTTATAGGACCATAGAGTGGCACCCCAAAAGGTCTTGGCATCTTGAAACTTGAGAGTTACTATGCAACAATAGAGACAAACAAGTTTCCAACAATGGCGACAATCAGGAAGAATCAGGGGGAGATTAGGTTGCCAATGGCTAGATCTGAGTGCTCCCCTGTTTAGTAAGCAACTGCATAGGAAAACCTCATAAACAAATTATTCAGGCAAAAGGTACTGGCCTGTAAAGTTCAATGATCAGATCTGGTCTATATTCCAGCCCGTCTGTTCGAGTAGAAGGTACCATTAAAAGTTCTCTTTTAGAAGGCCAATTAGTAATCCAGTGATTTTTCCAGGTGCACAGTAAAGTAGGCCACCAGACATGGATAAAGCTCACATACCATGAAACAATTTGCGGTTTAAACAAGCTTACCATATCTTTGCAATTTGAATTCCTTCAGGAAAAAGGCCACCACTGCATAAGACATAACCACGTTAAAATTTCAATAAAGAAAACATTTAGACATCAACATATATCCCAATTTCTGTAGTCCCAAACCTGTTATTCCGCAGATCCAACACAAAGGATTTAACATTGTTGTCCCTTAATGTCTTAATGGCTTCCTTAACAGATTCTGTAGGACGATAATGAATTGACATAATCAGCACTTCAGCACGACTTAGCATCTGAAAAACATCATGATGCTTCACAATGACATTATAACTTTCACAAAGTGGCAAACCTGCAGCATTTTGGTTAAATGTTGTCAATTTGATGTAACCGATCTTTGAGCTATCTTTGGAACCTGGAATCTCACACATCCTCGACCTCACTGGGTTTAAAGTGACTGTTTGTCTCCTGAAAATAATAAAAAAAGGATGGAATACTTAATGGCTAGTTTTCAGTAAATGGGTTTTACCCTTCTGTTCTCACTAAGTAAAAGGGGATTGTATGATTGGCTTACTTCAGAACGACATGCCTGGTATTGGTCCCACTACGAATAGACAAATCTACTGAACTTCCTTCAGGGCCCCTAGCAAATCAGTTGACAGAAGAACATCACCTCTTATTAAGAAGAGTACTCTATTAAGAATATCAAAAAAATGTCCACCTAGGGCAACCAAAACTAGGGAATGCAAGTATATAATTATCTGTTTTTTTTTTGTAACACTGCATTTTAGCCACTGATTATATTTACATAGTAATGATTGTTGGCCTTACTGTAAGCGTTCTGCGGCATCATATATATCCATGTCTTCAGTGCTTCTGTCATCAATTGCCAAAATGATGTCTCCAGGAAGAATGCCCGCCTTTTCTGCAGGACCACCAGGGGTGGCTGTCATGACAGCAACTCCTGAAGGTGATCCATTAATTGCCATTGGGTAACCAATCGACAAACCTACACCCGTGAGTGCGCCTTGCGTACCAGACTTCCTTCAGAAAAGATAATGACATGCTTTGTGAAGCAGATTACACTAACTAGTTGGATCAAAGGCTTTTGTGGGAATCAATGATCGAGTTTCATACCCGCAAGCTCTTCAATTTCTCAGGTTCCAAGAAACGAGTAAATGGGTCATCCAATGTTGAAAGCATTTTCTTGATTGCTGCATCTGAAATTCAGTATTGATTAAGCAAAATGATCATAGAGAATAAAAATTGTACAGTGTGATGGTTTGCTTTCACACAAATCTGCAATGCACTTGAGTTCTGGATCATAGAATTCCCATAGATAATTAGCAATATACTAGCACTGCAGTTTGGAAATTTAGCTCCTACCAAAGGAGACGCATTGTAGTATCTGTCTGTGATAGAAAAGCTTGGGGCAATATGCGATGGTGGTTTCCTTTAAACACTTAAACTTGTCCTTGGTGTATGATAAATGTATTTGAAAACACTATGTTAAATGACTGTCGAATGCCTCATGCAGTTGTTCTGACCATGATAGAAGTGTGGTTGTGATGTATGAAAGGCCAGGTTCTGGTTCTAGTTATGAAAGGCAAAGTTGAGGCAATATTCAAGAATCATACATGTCTCTTCCCTTGTGTTCATCGGTTCATTGCGAAGGGCATTTTCACGGTATCTAAACCAACTTTGCCCATTGAAAGATTTGTCATAGTATGCTCGATCAACCGCGCGCCAAGCCTCCAGGAAAAGCAAGTTTTCCTCTGTAAGCGCCGATGCTTGGATCCCCCAACATCCAATCACAGAAAAGGCGTCAGCAGACATAAGAAAGAACACAGAGAGATGATGAAAAGCCACATGGCTGTACCAATGTTGGAACACTTACACGAAGGTGCTGTATAAGAAGCTGCCGAGATGGACATGACCAGCACCACCCCTAAAACGACGCGCCCGAAACCAGCAGACATGAAGTGCCTGGATGCTCCATCTGGCCGCAGTGCGCTCATGGCCTTGTAGCACCGGCTGAGGTTGCCGTGCAAGGTGATCATCAGTGAAGAGTAACGAGACAGCATTCTCCTTACTGGCCGCGTCAATCTGGACACGGATGGGGATGGTCCACTCGCCAAACACTCGGTGGATCTCCTAGAGCATTGCTTCGTTTGGGCGAAACAGTAGGCAGCCCGCAGTGGTGGGCGGGGCAAGGGTTCCCATAGTGATACGACTGCTACCTGCGGTTCAGTCAGCAATGGTTCAAAGTTCAAACGATGGCTAGTCGCTAGCTAGTCCCCTCACCCAGAAGGCCAGAACCGACCTACACGAACCCCACCCAGGGCCCCAATTGCTTTGATGAATGAAGTATACAAACAGCAGAGCTTGAGAGAAGGAAGGAAGGAAGGAAGGATGGGTGGGTGGCGGAGACAGCAAGCGGGGTGTGATCACCGTGTGAAGGCGGCGAAGGGACGCCCGCGACGGCGAGGCGGAAGACGCGGCGTCGGAGACGAAGAGCGGGCGAGAGCACGTCGCCATCGATCCTCCCCCTTTTCGCTCACCCGTCGATGGCTTTTCGAATGGAATGGAGACTCGGGAGGGCGACGCCTCCAGTTTTCTGGGGTCGCCGCTTTTCCAAGGCCAAATTGGAAAAAATTCTTCTGCGAGGAGAGGAGCCGAGGAGACGAGGAGTGGATAACGGCCACGGAATTGCCAGGCGCTGAGAGCCTGAGACACCACGAGCTCAGCTGGTAGACGACGACGAATCGACGGCGACGCTGGATTGGACTAAGCGGTCTGGCCCACCACACTGACGAGGCTGCACTTTTTCCGGGCGGGCTGGGTGGATGGGCAGCGGCCACGCCACTCGATAGCGACTCGCGTGTGTAGGCCGGGCCAATGAGGGGGTAACTATTGGGCTGGGCCGTATCTGTCCGAGGCCCACTTGTCTGACATCGCTTCGTCGTCTTGTTTTGCTGAAGAGACACCCGCCGGCGACTAACTAAACCCTCGTCAGTCTTTCCCACCCGCCGGCCGCCGCCATGGACGCCGGCGACGCCTCCACATCGCTTGCCCTCACGGCGGCGGAGCCATCACCGCCGAGCCCCACCAGGAGGAGCAAGAGGCCGGGCAACCCGCCGAAGCGCTTCGTGCACACCCCGATCCCGCCCTCCATCCTCTCCGACCCGACCCTGGCGGCCGCCGCCACCTCCCTCCTCCCGGCCAGCTACAACTTCGAGCTCCCCAAGACGGCGCACCGCATACGGTCCGCGGCCGCCCGCCGCGTGGCGCTGCAGCTCCCCGAGGGCCTGCTCCTCTTCGCGCTCCCGCTCTCGCACCTCCTCGCGCCCTACCTCGAGCCCGACGCCGCCAACGACGTCCTCGTCCTCGCCGACGCCACCTACGGGGCCTGCTGCCTCGCCGACCGCCCCGCCACGGCGCTCGCCGCCGACGTCCTCGTCCACTACGGCCACTCCTGCCTCGTCCCCGTCACGTCCTCCCTCCTCCCTGTGCTTTACGTCTTCGTCGAGATCCGCATCGACGCCGCTCGCCTCGCCGCTGCCGTCCGCAACGCCTTCCCGGACCCCGCCGCCGCGCCCCGCCTCGCCATTGCCGGGACCGTGCAGTTCATCGCCGCGGTGCACGCCGCGCGCGAGATGCTCACGAAAGAGGGCTACCGCGACATCGTCGTGCCGCAGGCGAAGCCGCTCTCCGCCGGCGAGATTCTGGGGTGCACCGCCCCGACGCTCAAGAAATCGGAGGAGGTGGGCGCGGTGGTGTTCGTCGCCGACGGGAGGTTCCACCTCGAGGCGTTTATGATCGCCAATCCCGGGGTGAAGGCCTACCGTTTCGACCCATTTCTTGGGGTTCTCGTTCTGGAGGAGTATGACCATGTTGGCATGAAGCAGGCGAGGAAAGCGGCGGTGTTGGCGGCGAGGAAGGCCAAGAACTGGGGAGTCATACTCGGGACCCTGGGAAGGCAGGGGAGCACGAAGGTTCTCGACAGAGTGGTGGAGCATTTGGAGGAGAAAGAGTTGGAGCACACAGTGGTGCTCATGTCGGAGCTTTCCCCGGCGAGGATGGAGCTGTTTGGAGATTCGATTGATGCCTGGGTGCAAATTGCTTGTCCACGCTTGTCCATTGATTGGGGAGAGGGTTTCAAGAAGCCAGTGCTGACAACCTTCGAGTTTGATGTCGCACTGGGCTATGTCCCTGGGTGGTGGGAGAAGGGGAGCAGGGAATGTGGTGGTGAATGTAGTAGTGGGTGTTGTTCAGGATCAGGAACTTGTGGAAACTGCAACTGCAGTGGTGGGGATTTTGGTGGTGATTACCCGATGGATTATTATTCGCAAGATGGAGGTGATTGGAATAGCTGCTACATGAAGAAGAAGCCATCTACTGGCGAGAGGAAATTGCGGGTTCGGATTGGTAAGCACTCAAATTCTTAACACTTCATACACAGCCTCCGTCTGCCGTTTGTCTTTTCTTATCCTGCACATTAGAACTTGGATGATGGTCGTTGTACTTAATGTTCGTTAAGTGATTAATATTTGCATATGTTCAAACAATCACTATAAAATTAAAAACGCATGCATCTTGCTGTTGAACTGTCCTAGTAGCTTATTTTAATTGATCAACTTGAATCAACATTTCTACAAACTCTGGCATCACTGAATCATACTTGTATGACCCAATATGCTATTTCCAACGAGGTTATCTATAAATTTACTACTCTGCGGTTAGACTTAATTTTAAGATACAGGGGAGTGTTTTGTAGCCTCAAGGAAAGAAAAAAATGAACATTAAGAACTCTTTCAATGTTGTACAAATATGTAGTTGTCTGTTGTTTCATGTTTCAGCCTCTCATCCTAGTTGTGTATGACTGACTGTATGGAAGTGTGTTAGGTCAATGGCAGGGAGAAGTTTCATTTAGTCTAATGTCACAGAAGACTGGGTAACCCTAGTTATGTGTATAATGTTTAGTTTGAGGGATCACCCCATTTAGAAATGGCCATCCTTTGGTAGGATGAACCCATTCTTAGTTATTAAGTTAACCATGTGCTAGTGAGAGATGGGGTGGTAATGGATCAATCTATTCCATTTCTGAAGCCAAACAAAGTTGTTAGTGAAAAGGTGCCTTATACCAAACACCTCCGTAGTGCTCTGCAAACTGGACTGTGATGCAAATTGTCCTGATTTAATTGTGAGGTCATCGTTTCATGGCTATACTTAGGTAGCATTGTTTTGATCCCATTTTTCTTGTGCAATGGTTTATGTTCTTTTGCAATTCTAACTAGCAGGCAATGGAGTTCAAGCCGAGGATAAGCGCAGGAATCAGGACTGTTTGTGAGGTAGCCAGATGAATAGAGATACCGAGAACAGCTTCATGGCATTCAGAATAATTTTTGACACCAGGGTTTAGTTTGGTTGTACACAACGCTAGTTCGTTCCCAGAGGCAAATCTTGTGACAGTGTACCTGTATCATTGTACTCCACCCTTCATCATATACTGTAAATTTGTATTGTACAATCTTTCATGGTAATTCCCCTGATCGTTTTAGATGTGGCCAACCGTGTTTTACATGTCTTATTTGGGCTAAGCTAGATAAAATGAGCAATGCTTGATACATTGGGCTAGGAGTATCTTCAACAGATTACTTATCGCATTTCCAATATAAAAAAATATGCAATATAAAGGATTGTGGTTGTTCCAACAGATTACTCATCCAGTCATCCTAGACTCAAAATCCAGCCCCCTTCAAATGTAGATCTACCCCTTTCCCCTATCCACGGTATTGATAATCTCCATTCTATCCCTTCTTCCCCAAATGTAAGTCTACCTCCTTTCTCCTATACCACTTTAGGCCTTGTTGGGTTCGTATCCAAACTGGGAGATCTAAAGATATAATTTGGTGTGGCCAGCTCGTGCAGCCAGCGTGTCCATGTCACCGGCTTTTCGTGGCCGTTCGATCGGCCGCACGGACGGCCCAAATCGGGCGAGCCGCGGTCATTTTTCGAAAAAACCCTTCTACTTTTCGAAAATCAACCCACGATCCAGAGTCCCTCAGGATATTTTGCAAGAAACTCCTCAGATTTTTTTGAAATCAACCCGCAGTCCAGAACGGATGCCCTCCGGGTTTTTTGCAAAAAAAACCCTTACCTTTTCCGAAAATCGACCCATGCTCCACAAACCCTCTCACCATTTTTTGCGAAAACCTCCTCGGATTTTTCTCAAATCAACGTACAGTTCAACTTTGATTATATCTTTTTTTTCCAAAAAAAAACGTTTGGCCAGTGCACCGCGCGCATGGGCGCGACGAAAGACTAGTTAGGATTGAGAGGGGTTGAAGGCCTTGTTTTGGGATCAAAGGAAAATGCCCTTAAAGTACTCCCTACCTTCTATATTATATAAGACGTTTTGGTTTTTTTAGAATCATAGCTTTTGCTACACATCTAGATAGATATTATGTCCAAATACATATTAAAAGTTATGAATCTAGAAATATCAAAACGTCTCATAATTTGGGAAGGAGGAAGTATTAATAATCTCCACTTCAGTTTCAGGATCAAACAAACATGCCCTTGAAGGTATTAGTAATCTCTGCTTTAAAGGTACTAGTATTGGTGGAGAAGAAAATGCTACACTAATAATAATAGATCACCTATGTAAACTTAATATGTTAGATATACTCTAAGCTACTTCTTCTGTTCTAAATTATAAGTCGCTTTAACTTTTTTTAAAAAATTCATTTTGCTATGCATCTAGATATAATAATATGTCTAGATACATAGTAAAATAGATGAACCAAAAAAATCAAAGCAACTTATAATTTGGAACAGAGGGAGTAGATAAAATGAGCTATGTTTGATACAGTTCAATTATCAATGCAAAGGAAATTTGACACACTTAAAATTATTTTAGAAACAGCACATATTTAAACCGTGATACATATCAACACGTACCTCGTATCTAGCACACAGGAGTAACCATCATCAGCCATCCAACAGAACATATTAATATAACAGTAGGTCTCCATTCTCCAGGCCAAACGAAGCAAAAGAGTTCTAGTTCCAAAGACAAATATGGCCTATCCCGACATACATGCAAACTGTTATACTTAGGAATTTCAAATTTCCATTGCCAGCACGCAGCGCAGGCAGCCACCTTCGTGGAGCAGGTGGAACGCGTCATTGATGTCAGCCAGGTTCATGTTGTGGGTAATGTACTCATCCACCTTAATTTCCTGCGGACAGCACAAATTTTGGTTGAGAGGAGAACAAAAATTTCATCCAACACTTGATTTGGCAAGTGTTCATGATAGCAGTACCTTGTTCATGTACTTATCAACAAGCCATGGGACCTGGGTTCGGCTCTTGAAGCCACCAAAAGCTGTTCCCTTCCAGACACGGCCAGTAACGAGCTGGAATGGCCGTGTGGCAATCTCCTGGCCAGAAGCAGCGACACCAACGATGACAGAGGTTCCCCAGCCCTACAGGTGTGCACCCCAAATTTGAATAAGTGAAAGGGAAGGATATAGTACTCTCAAATGGCTGAATAAACAAGATACAATTCAGACATAAGCTGCAACACCCAGATATTGCAATGGGAATGCTTACCTTGTGGCAGCATTCCAGTGCAGCCCTCATAACTGAAACATTTCCAATGCATTCAAAACTGTAATCCAGACCACCATCTGTAAGATCAACTAAGACCTGCTGTATCGGTTTGTCATGGTCTTTTGGGTTAACAAATTCTGTAACTCCAAAGTTCTTTGCTGCAAACAGTGAGACAAAGATTAGAGGAGGCACAAGTAACTGCACATCCTGTACCAAAAGGCAATTTGGACTAAGAAGCTACCCCAACTGCTTGTATCAAGTTTGTACATTTGCACTCATGGATTGTCTTGGGAATTGACAATATCCCCAAAATGTACCTTTGACCATTGGGGATACATTAACACGAAGAATGTTGTAAAAAAAAATACACGAGGAAAGAAAAATCAGGTTCAGGAAATTCAGAACTCAAAAGTCACTCAGATTCAGTAACTACAATTGTTGCATCAAAGTTTTCCTGCACTTCATAAACAATATGCTTTTGAACTTCTATTAGCTGGGGCGGTAGATATACTGCTTACATGGTAGAAATTACTAGGTTTAGCCTACAAAACATAACTTTGGAGATTTTCTGTTCCACATTTGATAAAGGTGGCCACTTGTAACAAAAAGCAACAGAACTTAGTAGTCTCAATTTATTAACAGGTTCCACAACTTGCACAAGAGAATGAACACTTAAAATACAATGGAAACAAAGGAAATTGGATTTGCCCATTTCACCAGCTGATAAACAAAAACCAACGCAAGAGGAGAATAGAGGGTCGATGAACAGAATTGCAAGGATATAAACCATACCAACGTCAAACTTTTTATTGTCAATGTCAATGCCAATAATTCGAGAAGCACCAGCAGCTTTTGCACCCTCAGCAACCTAAAAGAGAAACTCAGAAGTCAAATCCTATTCATTAACTCAGGTTTATGAGAATGACCTAATAAGAGAAACTTACTGCAAGTCCAACTGTGCCAAGGCCAAAAACAGCAACAATAGAGCCAGCTTCAACCTTTGCAGTATTCCACACTGCTCCAAGACCTGGATGATTGTACTTTGTTAGATGTATGGACAAACTAAATACCACTTATTATTGGAAAACATTTAGAGGATAATGATAAAATATGTAAAAGTGCTAAGCTGCTAAACATGTCGTCAGTAGTTCAATCAGTGTAGCACTGTAGCAGAAGTATGGTAATTCACAATTAATTCATTTCACTGACTAAAAAATAGGGATTTGCGTCATCACAAACAGAAATGGCGTGCAAGTTTCTGCATGAGATCAAAACCACTAACTTTTTGCTAGTTGCATAGATCATAAACAGATGTAAGAACATCTTGGTGATTGAGTATGTTAAGAAAACATTGGTGCTAACTATTGCAGTTTAGGCACAAACAATGAGAAAAAAAAAACGTTGGTAGTGATACGAGTATACAGCAATACACTGAGGCAGACAAATATATAAGTATCACACGAAAAGTTACTTAGCACTAAGCCACACAACAATTTGTATGACAGGATAACTGTCCTGAGGATCAAGGAATCCTCAAAAGAATGCAGTGTGTGAGCAGACAAATATGTAGCCTGAATTAGCAATTTATATCCTAAACATAAAAGCCAGTAAACACATATGAAAAGAACATACCAGTAGAAACACCAGAACCGAGCAGGCAGACTTTATCTAGGGGTGCCTGTGGGTCGATCTTTGAACACTGACATCATGCACCACAGTGTACTGGCTGAATGTTGATGTCCCCATGAAATGGTAAATGGGCTTTCCATTTACAGAGAACCTGCTCTTCATATCATTCATCATGACACCCACGCCAGTCAGTGGCACCACGAACCTTACCACAGAGGTTGGTCTTTCCGCTCTTGCAAAACTTGCACTCTTTGCATTTTGCCTGGTAACAAGGAATGACATGATCCCCAGGCTGCACCTCAGTTACTCCTTCGCCGACACTTTCCACAACTCTATTAACACAAGCAAAAGAAAATTTGTCCATCACAGCCCAACAATGAGTTACTTCGTGTATGAAACTGAAGCAAATATATATGCTTATTACCCGGCAGCTTCGTGGCCAAGAATGCAAGGAAAGAGACCCTCAGGATCCTGCATAGAAAATGAAAGTATTAATATCATTCTAGCATTCTGACAGGACCACATGGTCAACTAGGTGTGTTTGGTTTAAGGAATCAAATCACTCTAGATGAGCTGGTGAATCATGAGTCCATTCATCAAATTTGGTTGAATGATTCCATTCCTCACACTAGTACTAATTATTAGCTTGTAAGGAATGATGTGATGCATCAACCCATTCTATTCCACAAACCAAACAAAAAAGTGAGGAGTGATAAGATGATGGACTAACTCATTCCTCAAACCAAACACCCTATAAATAAATATACCTGCAACTGCACAGCATGCGTCTAACTAACAATACCAAGTTTCAGCAATATTCTTAGGTTACCGCCAATGACACCATCCCCGGTTAGAAAGGGGAAGTAAGAAAAAGTCTTACAGTGCGCCATCAAATCTATTTGTTTAGGAACATTATTTTTTTATCAACCAGTCTATAAAATTCTAGGAACATAACCACAAGATGAAGTGACAAAATAAGAATAATGCCCAATTACATCAGAACAGCGACTGTCCATCAGCGTCAGGATTGCCATTTGCCACTATGGCTACCACACCCATGCGAGTGACTGGTTCATAGAATTCCAAGAACCCTAGATTGGACGAAAAACCCAAGCGAGTATGAGTGAGTTGGAGGAAACAAGACAATACCTTGCCGCTCCAGGTGTAGTGGTCGGTGTGGCAGAGCGCGGTGAAGAGGATCTTGACGCGGACCTCGCCGGCCTGCGGCGGCGCCACCTGCACGTCCTCGATCACGAGCGGCTTGTTCGGCTCGTACGCCACCGCCGCTGCACGCACAGGCCAGCCATGAACCTCCCACGCCAGATCAAATCGAACGTCGTATACGAACACCACCACCACCGCTACCAGGAAACTAGTACCACCACCGATGCGAAGAAGCTAGAGAAGACAAGATCAAGAAGGTTACCTTTGCAGGTGATGACCTGGCCCTGGGTGGGGGAAGCCATTGCTTCCTGGGGGAGTAGGGGTTTGGGTGGTAGATGCGATGGAATGGAGCAATGGAGAGGCGCAGTGGAGGAGGATGTGGCTGTGACTCTGAGGTCCCCGGGGAGAATTTTTTTTTATTTTTAACATTTTTTTAAACTAATTTTAAATCTAACGCTATTTTTTCTTTAAAACTAACACTTTTGACCGCACCTATTGCCATGGCGCGGCGAAACGCCTATACCACGTCATGCATGGTGACGCGGTAAGAGGCTGACGTGGCGAAGACCAAGGCCGCTGACCGGTGACGTGGCAGGGTCTGTCGCGCCACCAATCTTAGCGCGGCAGTGACGCGCCACGGCGTATGGCATGGCAGTACCTGGATGGTTTAATCGGAACTTTCCGTGTCGATAGTGGGAGTTACTCTACGTATTGCTTGACGTAAAACCAATAGTGGGTTTGTTTCTGTCTTTTGTTGAATCTTTTTCACGGCTCGATAGAGAATTTTATAAGCCAATGATTTTTTCTGTCTTTCGTAATACGGTTAACCACCATATTAACTAATCGATTACGAAAAATTAGATCGGATTTTGCGGGGGTTTTTTCTACAGTACCTCGACGTGACATGAGCGTGAAAGAGATTCAAGAATTCGTTTTCTTTTTATAAGGGCTAAAAACGAATCATTTAATTTTTTTTTGCTTTTTGGCCCTATTTTGTAGGATCGACAGCGACACGACCATGGACCCCGGCTTCCTCGACCCCTCGCGCAAGACACCGACCACCGGCGTCGAGATACGCCGGGACTGCTGGTTCTCGAACTAGTTGCTACTTAATCTCGTCGGCAGTGCTGCCGCGACGCATTGAAACGAATATGAAGCAAATAAATACAGTCCGTGCGCAAGTTGACAAGCTGCCACATAAAATTTTTATTGGTTTGACATAAGTTCGACATAACATAACCAACTAAGCCTGCAAGTTTCGGACGCCAATATTCGTTCAACCTAATAAACTAAGATCTAGGAGTGTAAGGATTCATCGGACGCCTCTGTCTCTTCGGATTTGTTGGCAACACATTGGGAGTGTAGCGAACGTCGGTGTGGTCGCGTCGCCGGTGCGTACGGCTCGTACCCTGCAAGTATATGATATGCACGATTACTTATAATCTTTATGATCGTTAGTTCATGGAGCCTACGTATTTAAAGAAACTACCTTTGTTAGTACATATGAGGCTCCTTGGATACCGAACGGGGCACCACCTAGCTGAGACATGTCGATCTCGTCCTGCGGCAATCGTCCCACTGGTCGTGCTGTCTGCGGAAGCCCGAGGGTCATCGTCGTCGTCATCAATTGCAGGGTCCTTCCCAGCGCTATGATGTGGTGGTGTAAGCACTGTGGAAGTGGCACCTGTCGTCGGCTGAGAAGAGCGGGCTGGTGTCCTCAAAGAGGCTGAAGACGTGCCACCCGACTGCGCCGGGAGTGTGTTGACACAAAATGTGACGCACTGTGCCTCACACACAGCAAGCCGGAAAGCGTGGCTTCAATCGGGTTCGGTGCTTGCCGTGACCGGAAGCGTGCCGGCCGCTTTGACTGAAAAGAACTAACAAGGGATAAAAACAGTTAAATGCGAGGCCGGAACATGTCGGTGAGACCGCATAGCCCATATATACGACCACGAAGCCACTTACAACGACATACGACTATAGGAAGGCATGCGCCAACAAGTTTATAAACCATTTGGCTAATCGTAAGATGAACACACGTAAAGATCCGATTATCAATGCATGTGCATGGGAAGACATGTTTGAACAAGTGAAATTAATTATGAATTAATGCATAACCAAGCTCAAAGAATCCAACCGAGTTGGGATCCATGAAGAAGGAACGTGCAAATAAACACGATTAAACTAATCTAAAACCTGCATCTGCCGCACGACACCTAGTTCCGTCAAAGCTTAAACATAATTATCATGCATGAACCCACAACATGTAACAATCTAGATTAAAATAATTCAGCCATTATAAGCATGTTATCTATTTGCAGAGGTAATATGACAGTAATGATCATTGAAGCACGAATAAAACCACAAGAGACGGCCGAATAATGTCAATCTAGATTGGGCAAAAAGTGTGTTACAAATATATGAAATATTTAAAACATGCAACACAGGATAACTTAATGAATCTATTTAGATTTTGCCGTATCTAATAGAGCCGATAACTGTCTTGCTTTCACTAAGCATATTGAGCAAACGCTCACGCATACGGTATCTACTCAATAACAAAGCATAAGCAAAGACTTCTTGATTGTCAAGCAAAGATCCGCCCATACGATCATTGAAAACAAACAAGACTACTTGCATCACGTCTAAATCCACCGCATGATACTAAACATGATAACAAGGTTGTCGGAACTTACGGAGGTCGACGGATCGATGACTCCTCTCGAAGAACTCGATGACACGACAAAAGGACTCGAAAGTTGGCACGGGGACGGTTGTATTGATTTGGTTGTGAACCTCCATTACAATGGTCGAGGGTCAATATTTATACCCTAGACAAAACACGAGTCCTAGAAGACTACGATTTACAAAGGAACTTCTAAACAAACTTGGAAACTTACGATTCCTTACCCTAAACTCTCGAGTCCTTTATTATTACAACTTTCATCTTTTCGATCGGCCTTGCTCGCCATCTTCGCTTTCCCGAATGGAGTCACCGCCCTCGAGTAACCGACCGCACAAGCATTTAGCCGACCGCTTATTTTGTCTCGCCGAATACCCTTCTTCCGCATGCGGGTCCACATCATCCTCCGAATCGACCAAAATCCAAAGTGTTAACACATGCCCCTCAATTTCGGGATAAAAGTTGTTTTTATTCGAAATTGACCACAAGCTCCTTCTTCTTCCTAGGTCAAGACACCGTTCAACACCGCACTCACGCCCAAAATTCAAGTTTTCGGCGCAACCTCGGACCTACTTGAATCTTCAATGGCGACCTGGATGAAATCCCGAGGTAAACTTTACTTATATTCGGTAATTTTCATTTGATCCTCCTGTTCCTCTTTTGGCTTATTCCTCTTTGATTTCAATCACCTTCTAAAGGAATACAAGAACCAGATTTTGATCCCTATCTTCGCCAACCTCGATTCCTATTTCCTCGGCCCAATGGGAAATCCTGACCCTTCTGAGATTATCGAGAAGGAAACCCAAAGAATCCCCTTCAAATCTGGGATCACCTCGCCAAACCGATGGCCAAACACGTTCAAGAATTGGCCATTTCCCCCAATCGTCGGATGGCGGAATTGGTACAGGAGAATGCTAGAGAAAAGCAGCAGCCACTGGGAAAGTCAAGACATCAGTCATTGTTTGGAATTATCCTTAGCAGAAACACCCAGAAACGATTCCCTCTTGATAGCAGCTTCCCATTTTGGTCCGACACCATTAATGCCTTCATCTTTGGTCATGGTATGATGACCATCACTCTAGCCGACGTGTTCATGATGACCGGCTTGAACGCGTGTCACTACCAAAGATACCCCTATAAGTACAAGAGCAAAAGTAATCAAAGAGCCGTCAGCTCTGGATGTGGATGGGTCAAACACATCCAGAACTACATGAATGCATCTCGCACTGTCTCTGATAAAGAGTTGAAAGCTTTCATGAATATGTGGCTATGCAGATTCATCTTTTGTGGAAAATCCAATGAACCAACCACGAATCACATGGTGATGGTCGAGGACTTAGTCTGTAGGCACTCGGATCCCACTAGGCAAATATCTCTTAGGGTACATTTATCATATGATGCATCGATTACTCTTGAGATGCGCCAAGGTGGAGAAATCTCTTGTGTGAATGGTCCTCGTGGCTAATTCAAATGTGGCTCCAGCTATATATGCATCAGATAACCTCTGTGAGCCTCCTCAATCTAAGTTTTCCTTGATTAACTATCTTTGAAGGTAGTACAAAGAAAGGTTAAGGCTTGTCGGACTTATGGGGAAGCAACATCATCTATCGGCATTGACATAGACATTGGCCATTTCTTCAAGCTATTTTTCAAAGGATTCGACAATGTACTGGTTCCCTTACAAAGAAAATGAAAATTTGACTTTGCCTCGCAAGTTCAACTATGAAATTGGTTGTTCAAAGTCAAGAATCCACGGAGATCTTCAACTCCTTTATCAAACCTTGCACTCTTGGCCGAATTTCATCATGGGAGGTTAGTGCAGTCCACTTATGAATTCTACTATCCAAATATGGTGGCGGACAATTAGGATGTGGCCAATGCCCCCAAAATTCCTCTTCTCAACAATCATGAAGCCAAGGGAAATAATAATGTAAAGAATGGAAGCCAAGAAAATCTTTGAATTAGGATGGGAATTGCCAACACATCGAACCATCTCCATTTGGGCTAATAGATGTTGCTCATCCCTTCTTTGTCTCTTGGTGGCAAGAATGGCATGCTCATATCTTCAATATATATCAGTTCATCCTTTATGCAAAAAACTTGTAGCCCCGACTTTTTGCTTTTCGATAGTGAGGTAACTCCATTAGGCTCATCATTTCACGCTTTTGAATTCACTTCCTATTTTAACATCTGGTTATGCATGAGATTTTGAGCCTACTTCCCCGGCCAAAGCAATCCAAAGATTATTCTTTGGTCCCAATCTCGCCTCTGGGATTTGATGCTCCAAAATTAAAGGAATTCATGAAAATCCCTACAACTTTGGATTCAAGACCTTTAAAGACACTCATGAAAACTCCTACTACTTGCCATCGTGATCTTCAAGAGGAAAAACAAAAGGAAAACACACGAAAGTTTTCTCTTGCCCAAGAAACCAAGGACCAAGAAAGCCAAATTATCTTTTGAGGTACGAACCCTTTATTCTCTATCGTGTTAACAACCCCACTTAGCAAAGAACCCGACCACCTCTATATTCATTACTTCCATCGCACCGCAAGTCGAAATTCCCAGACTAGACAAGATTCTCAAAGATTTGCAAAACCAACTCCTCAAGTTTCTACC